TAAGAAAAAAATTTCAAGTCTTTGTAAAGGCACGTGCTATTGAATACCGTTCTCATTCTGGGCACCCTGACTCTACCAACAACAAGCGAGAACCTCAAGTCCCGCTGCGATCTAATCAGGAGCAAGCAACCTCCCCAGCAAAAAGTTGAAAATGCAATGAGTGGGTGCGTTATTATCTCCTATGTCAGAGATAGCAGGCTTGAGATTATAGTAGGTGTGTGTGTGTGTGTGTGTGCATGCACCATTTGAGGAATCAGAGAAGGTATCTTCTGGGGACTCCCCAGAAATGGAAGACGATTGCCCACAGTGGGAATGGACTCCTGGGACAGTGGCCAGTGCTGAGTCACCGGGTCATGGTGAAACCCTGAAGGCAAGCCGCCCTTCTTTAAGCCATGCTGTCCCTAGAGAGAACTGTGGCTATTTAAAGAAGGATAAACTTTTAATTTATAAAGTATTTTAAGGTTTGCACTGTTAAATTCCCTTGGCTATCGTTTTAATGCATGCATTAGTTCTAAGGAGACCTAGTGAGAGCACTCATGTCTTTAAACAACCAGCCCTTCAGCTCCTAATTAGCTGGAAGTTTGGAATCTCTGCCCCACACAGCAGATGCAGAATAAATGCTGAACTGACAAATTCTTCAGATTTTTTTTAAATATAATTGAGGGACCATGCTCTCTCTTTTCAGCAACTCTCCTTACTCCTGCTTCATGGGCTCCTACACCCACCATTCTTTCCTTCTTTATTTTGTGTGGTACCCATTACCAGGCAAACAGCTCTCCATTTCCCTCCTGCAGAAGTATGTGTAATTTGTGAGAGATTAATTACACAGCGACTCAACTCAACAAAACAAACCATCCCAAAGGAAGCTGGGATGAGCGCTTACTTCATGGAGACATTTACTGCAGTTTGGTCTTTTCTAACTGCAGCAGCCGAGGGATACTCCCAGGGCTGGGGAGCCTGTGCTGACTTTAGAAATAAAAGCCAAGGGTTAAAGGGGCAGCCAGGAACAGCAGGTGCTCATTCAAGCCACACTAACCACTTATACAACAACACAATCAGAAGTCTTCTTCCTGATAACAAAGGAAAACAGAAACCTTAGAGAGGTTAGATCCGGAATGAAAGCATCACCCACTGAAGACAGTTTAAAAAAAAGAAAGAAAGAACAGCCGCCAGTGATGCTGGCTACCCTAATATGGTTTTCGTTATTTCTCTCTCCTCACCACCCCTGCTTGAAGTGGCATTGGCATCTGTGAAGCTGTGCTGTCAGTGATATATCCTGGAAAAAAAAAAAAAAAAAAACCTAAAAAAAGTGTTCACTCTGCAACCAGTACAGGAAGCAGAAATGTCACAGTAAACAATGTTGTTCAATAGAAGTCACAGGAGGTCATTATTCTGGACTGAAGTTCTACACCAGGCTCTGAAAGAGCAGTCTAAACACAGTGAAGCCTCCAGAGCTGCAGTGTCGGCTCGCCAAGCTAAAACTAGGCTGTTATGTAGCCTTTGGGAAATCAGCAGAGACGGCTGTAGGTGGACATTGGAGTCTGGAGGGTACCCTCTGGGATGTCCAGGTTCTTGTGTTCAGAAACTGGAAACTGGGCCAGGGCCATGTGATGGTAGCAAAAGTGAAGACAGTTTACTTAAAACTCAGACACTTGTAGAATGGGAAGTGGGCCAGAGAGCCCACAAAGGTTATACACTCAGTGATGCCGTTGTTGGGTAGACTGAACATTTGCACAGGGCACACTGTTTTGGTGGATACTCTGTTACCCATCAGCCTTAGTGGGGCAGACTTTCTAGTCCTTTTCTGTCATTGGTTTCTTACATATGCTAATTTTGATGCCTCTTCCTCAGCCCCACACTCCTGCCACAAGAACAAGAAGGAACTCTCTTTAAGCAGCTGGCTTCAATCAGCCTAATAGGTGTTCTCTGCTCTTACCCTAACCGAGGAGTCAGAAGCAGTAACCTGACATTAACCAGTTAGTTTCTGTGCTCTGCCCATCTGCTGTTTCCTCCTAACCAGAGCTGCTGTGACCACTGGTTCTGTTTTGGGGGTTGCTTCTGCTGTCAGTCCTTTTCTATGACACCAGCCTTCTCTGTTCTGCTTGGGGCAACATTCATTCTGGACTATGCCAGTCCATCCACCATTCTTCTATTCTGCATTACTATTCTGTTCTGCACTGCTCTGTTTATTTGAAGACATCAATAGTCAGAAACAAAACAAGTTTAGATATTTACAACAAAACATTGTGGCTTTTAATCTTTTGACAATGCAAATGACCAAGCACTATTATAATTATCACAAATCATCTGAAGGAGGCTTGAAGAAATAGAAAACTCATCCACAACCTGGTGGCCTCATAAACTTAAGTTATCAAATAATCAGCGCTTCACCAAAATCTCTTTTATTTTCCTGTCTGCTTCTGTTTCTAATTTTTCTATTCACCATAAAAGTACACACACACATACAAATCTTTTTTTGGTTCGGTCTTTGGTATGAAGAAATTTCTGGGACCTTTGAGATGGCTGAATGAGTAAAGGATTTTGCCACACAGGTCTGGCAACCTGAGTTCTGTCCTCAGAACTTCCATAAAGGTGACAAACTCTACATTGTTGTCCTCTGACCTACACACACACACACACACATACACACACACACAGAGAGAGAGAGAGAGAGAGAGAGAGAGAGAGAGAGAGAGAGAGAGAGAGAGAAAGAGAGAAACAGAGAGATACACACAGGCTCATACACACATCAGCAATAACATCAATGAATACATCAATGAAATGAAAAAGTTCCCAAAGCATGGAACTTGCCCATGTATGGTATACTCCATTCAATCCCCACAAAACAAGTAAGAGAAAAAAGCAAAGAGAAATCCCTTCAGAGAGGTTTATAACATCAGCTAAACATGTGCCTCAGTTTCTCCATCTTCAAAATAGAGACAACAAAGAGACCTAGCTCCAACTGCATAGGCAGAATTTAAAAAGTGTTTGTGGAGTGTTTGGCTAACGTCTGTGTGTAGATCATAAACAATTGTCTATTGCTCAGAGGGACATCACCTCCCTGCTACTCCTGAGCCAGCCCAGCCCATCACTGCCCTGGAACCATCTCTACTTCTCTGGACCAGGACCCAAGATTTTCTCCATGAGAAACCTTTAATTATAAGATAAGTAAAATGCTGAAATACAAACAATAGTGAGTTCACAAAAGTGCATCACCATTTCTGCAAACAGTGAAAGACCTAAGGTGGGTGTCAGTTTCCGTGAATGTTAACACGTTAACCAAATAGAGTTCAAAATAAAGCTACTTCACGGTTTTCTTAGTGTTCAAACTGATACCAGCTGAAGAAAAGGAAACAGAGGACAGACAGAGGTGCCTGACTAGGTAAGAAACAGGAAATACCCTCTTATCCAGCAGAAACCCACTAGTGTGAGGACACTAAAATTTCCGTTCCATGGAGTAATATTTTTCATTTGTTCAATTTGTTATTATCCTCAAGTAAAATGTTTTAAGTTGTATTTGTAATCTTTACATGTTCTTTGTCATAGATCTGATTGGTGGACTGACTGATTGGAGACAGGGTCTCATGTAGCTGAGGTTGGCCATGAACTCCTGGTCCACCTGCTTTCTGCCTTCCAAGTGCTGGAAACACAGGTGTGTGCCACTGTGTCCAGCCTAGAAATGGTTCTTTCTCTGAATAAATTTACCAAATGACTAGTTGCCATTAAACCAAACTTGCACTAACTTGAGAAAGACCACAACAAAACTCTTGACTCAGTAGCAGAGCCAGCCACACACCCCAGACCCATCAAGCTGACTATGAATCTTCATTTGTTCTAACCCTGAAGCCCAGCCTGTTCCCATACAGTCCCCAAGTGGGGCTCAGCCATTCTGCAAAAGGACCCGTTTCATGTTTATGTATTCCCAAAGCTACAGGATATTCTGTGAGTGAGTTTGTCTTCCTCTGCAAAATACAATTGCAAGGACTCCGTAGTATGGACAGCTTACTTCAAGAGGCAGAGAAGACATAGTTGACATGCCAGCCACAGGAGCCCTCAAAACATCGATTGTATTCTTATTATTCTCCTGTGGGACAACTATAGAATTAGTTTTACTTATACTGTGATCCTAAGCACTAAGTCTTGACACTAACCCTTAATTGTGCCTTCCAGATCACCCTTGGAGCCTCGAACCCTCACCTGAGGTTTCCAAGAGCCAATGACATAAGAATACAAATGACTCACAAAGCCCTAGCTCTTTTCCAAGCAGAAACACTCTGTCCCTTTGGTTCTTGCCTTTGATCTGCTTTCGAGTCCATAATCATAACTAATGCATGTGTGTACCCATACCCACCCCTTGCTTGAAAAGGGAAATATGCCCTTGCTCTCTTAGGCAAGAGAAGGAAAGAATATGTTTTTATCTAAGGAGAAGCTGACAAGGTTATGGTAAAACGGATGGAGACTTGGATGTGCAGGGACTAAGCAGATGGAAGCTGACTTTTGCCACATCTGCTCCTCTGCTCCAATTGATGCTGTAACAGCTCCTGCCTAGTGAATAAACCGGTCCAAATCTGCTTTGGAGTTACCCCACAATGATTTTTTCTAACTCCACTCTGCTTTTGTTTTTGAATGTTAGGATAATTGAGTGTGCTAGTTTCCATCACTATGACAAAACATCCGAGAAAGACAATTTCAAATGAGAACAGGTTTATTCTGACTCACGGTTTGGGGAGTTACAGTTCTTAGCGACTTGACCCCGTGGCCTGGGAAGAGTCAGCAAGCACATCATGCTGGCAGTGCATGGGAGAAGAAGCCCTCACCACATGGTGACCAGGAGGCAGGCACTCCCTGGACAGCTGCCTGATTAGGTCAAGGCAAAGGCCAGCTCCATACTCATGGCAGCCACCGCTCACATTGCCCGTGTTGTTTGGACAAGTGACTATGCGCTTCCTCAAATGTCAGGGTTAAAAACATCCCAGCACCGGCTGAAATGATAAGGGAAGTGTTATTCAAGACTATGGCAATAGGGTTATTGTAATAGGAGCAACAGAGTGGACTCAATACTGACTTCAGTGAAGATAGCTGGACCCGAGAAGCTGGTGAGAAAGAGTAGAAGGAAAATCACTAAGGGGACACAACAGAGCTAGGGGATTTTTATTTATTTATTTATTTATTTATTTATTTATTTATTTATTTTTATTTATCTTTGCCAGAGTGGATGGTACAGGCCTGGCAGTGGAAACCAACACCAAGACCTTTTCAAGAGGGCTTAGAGGAAGCTGGCTGTAGCTGAGAAGGGAAAAGGTGTTTATTGCCAGCTGTAGTTACAGGAAGATGAAGTTGATGCTATCATCACTGCTGAGTAAAATTCTCCCCTAGCAGATACCAAAGCTGTTTCACAGAAAGCAGGATTGCCCATGGTTCACAGCATGGCCTTTGAGTCTTCTAAGTAAACTCTGCATGTGGACCATTGGAGTCAGAGGCCAAGGGTGATGCTCTGGGGAACATTAACCCAGATTCTCTAGACAGGGGAGCAAACAGTCACAGGTCACAGGTCACAGAGAGGGTAAACAAAAAGAAGAGAACAGGGACAGATACACACATCTGTGCTCCACTCCCCAAGTTTATCAACCAGCAAAATATGGATACTTATATAGTTTACATATTAAAAGATGACAATTAGCCCTGAGAAAAATGTCCAGTTCACCACTTACCCAACTTTAGATGCCCAGCACTTAAAGAGGCCACCCTCTGAGACACGGGGCTACTAACCATCTCAGCATCTCTAGGCATTCACTAGTAAGGCTCCAAGGTCTAGAAACAGAAAGAAACATCAAAAGAAAAAATAGGAACTCAGGTAAAACCTAAGAAACTCAATACCAACTCCTTAAGAGAAAAAAAGACTAAATATGTGAAACCAGCACAAAAATGTTTTAAAAATGGAAACATTCCAAAATAAGGAAAAGAAGTGTTAAAATTTTAGTAAATACTTAGAAGATAGAGTCAAAGAAATCTCCTGGATAATAAAAAATGAGGACTTTGAACTCAATCCACAAATTTCAAATCAAGTTGTGTATATTCCTGAGATAATATATAAATTAGAAAATATGAAACTTATCTCTTGGAAATCATTTCAGGTTATTCTACTTTGCTTTCTCTGTTGCTGTGGTAAATCACTGACCAAAAACAATTAGGAGAGAGAAGATTTATATGGCTTAGACGTCACAGTCCATCATCGAGGGAAGCCAAGACAGGAACTCAAAGAAGGGACCTGGAGGCAAGAAAGGAAGCGCAAACCACAGAGGAATGCTGTTTATTTTAAGCCCACCTATCTAGGGGATGATGTCACCCACAGTAGGTTTTCCTCTTACATCTATTAGCAACCAACAAAATGTCCCAGAGACATGTCTACAGGCCAGTCTGATAGAGGCAATTCCCAAATGTATTAAGTTGACAACCAAGATCAGTCATCATACAGCCCCAACTAGATAGATAACCTCTAGAAATGTCATAGTTTGGAGAAAATCCAAAGTCACTAAAAACAGAAGGAAACAGATTATGCAGAGCCCCACATCCCTCTTAAGAAGATAGCCACAAAACCATGATCATGATTGCCTACTTTTGAAAAGCTGTGTTCATTTTACCCATTTTAGGCTCAAGAATATGCACAAGCATTACAGCTAGAATGTGAAAAGCTCTTATTTTTTTTTTTTTTTTTTTAAATGTCACAGACAGTTCTATGTCCTCCATTCTGCTTATGATCAAGGCAACTACATGTATCTAACAGAATATTTCTGGCATGCCTTATCTCAGATAATCACACCTTGCTGTCATGAGTAAAGCATCAGTGAAGTTTCTAGCATGAGCCCCAGGCAGCCAAGCATGCAAAACACACTCCCTGGGGCTGGCATGATGCATGATGCTTGGTGAGATGGATTTCATAGTCATTGCCATCACCCAGCTGATTCCACACTATGAAACAGTGGTTTGAAAGAAAATGGCCCCCCACAGGGAGTGGCACTATTAGAAGGTGTGGCTTTGTTGGAGGAAGTGTGTCACTGTGGAGGTGGGCTTTGGGGTCTCCTATGCTCAAGCTGCACCCAATGACACAGTTCACTTCCTGTTGCCTGCAGATCAAGATGTAGATCTCTCAGCTCCTTCTCCAGCACTGTCTGCCTGCATGCTGCCTTGTCCCTACGTGATGATAATTTAATTGGGGTGGGTTACACCTCTGAAACTGTAACCCACCCCAATTAAATGTTTTTCATTATAAGTGTTGCTGTGGACGTGGTGTCTCTTCACAGCAATAGAGCAGTGAATAAGGCAGTGGCTGACACATCCTTTGAAGTACCCTTCCTGCTGACCCCTTTCAGGAATTAATATTTACCTTCCAAACCTGACTGAGGCTTCCTGATTTGTTAGAAGCACTCACAGCTGTCCTATCCCATCCACTGTGGAGTTGCTCATTCACAAGTTAAAAAAAGAGAATTCACTTGACCCTTGCTTTGTGCATTTAGCCTGTTCTTATCTCTTAGTCTCTTCACACCAAAGCTGGCAAATGAAGATCTTGGAAGCTGGACTGACTGATAACTAAGTGTAGACTATCAGCTGATTCCCTCACCATTGCCACTTTGTTTGTAGGCATCCCTACTCAGGACTATTTCCCTCCCCATGCCAGCTGCAGAGAAACAAAGTTGAGAAAAGAGTCTCTTAGCCTCTGGTCATGGTCCCTGAACATCCCCTCCCAGTCACATAATGCATCTCAATAAACAACTATTTGGCCTTCAGGATGATAAAAAAGATGTTGCAAGAATACTGTGGTTCTAGAAAAGGCTGCCAAATGAGGTGAATCCCTCTCATCACTGCCTCCAGGCAGATGGTGACTTCATTCTGTGTTCTTCCAGAGCAGAGGGGTGCCCAGGTGAGCTCAGGAACACTGAGACCCTTGCTCCATCTGTGAAGAGATGGGTGTGACAAAGACCTGGCCTAGGAGTTCAAGGCAAAGAAGGGATAAGGAGATAGGGACCAACATCCCATCATGGCAACTGCTGTCCCCCTACCTGTGCCCTCTCACAGACATTCAGGCATTCTAAAGGGCAAACACATGCTAGTATGGTTGGACTGTGAAATGTCCTCCACAGACGTGGGTGATGAGGACAAGTGACTAGATACTGAGGGCTCTGAGCTAATCAATGGATTAACCCCATGATGAATTTATAATATGAAGGCATGGCTTAGAAATGCTAACAAGTAGGAGACTGATACTAGCTGGAGTGTTGGATCACTGTGGGTGACTTCTTGGGGTTGTATCTTGCCCTGGTCCCTTCCTATATCCATTTCTCTGCTTCCTGTCTGCATGAAGAAACTTCATCACATACTCCCTCCATTATGATGTTCTGCCAGGAGAATGGGACCAAGCAGCCATGGACTGACCCCTTTGAAACTGTGAGTCAAAGCAAATCTTCCCCCTTAAGTTCTCTATGGGGGTGTATTTTGTCACCATGACAAGACGACTAGCTAATGCTCATGCCATCTCCTCCTGGGAGGCTTTCATAAACCCTTCCAGCCACCATTGACTAATTAACTGATGTCTCTATCACCCTCCTCCACTTGCAGGTCTGTTAGCATGGTAGACCCCACATTGAACAGAAGATAATACCTTATTCCTTATATCCTCTGCACATGATCCAAATGAACTCCCTCTCCCCACACCCTGATCTGTCTTAGAGTTTCTATTTCTTTAACAAAACACCATGACCAAAAAAGTAAGTTAGGAGAGGAAAAAGGGGGTTATTCAACTTACACTTCCACTGTTCATCACTGAAGAAGTTAGGATGGGAACTCAAACAGGGCAGAGACCTGGAAGCAGAAGCTCATGCAGAGGCCATGAAGGTGTGCTGCTTGCTCAGGTTGCTTTCTTATAGAACCCAGAACCACCAGCCCAGGAATGGCAACAACTACCATGGGCTAGGCCCTCCCCCATTGATCACTAATTGAGAAAATGCCTTACAGCTGGATCTTATGGAGGCATTTCCTCAACTGGGGCTCTTTCCTCTTTGATGACTCTAGCTTGTGCCGAGTCAACACACAAAACCATTCAATACAACTGAGCCCTTGTCATCTTGACACAACCCTTCCTTTTTAAATTCATTCCCAGACCTTATATTGAAAACATAAATAACTTCAAAAGTCCCACAGTCGTTACAAAAGCAAACACATTAAAATTTTAGTCCCTTGAAAATAGCCAATCTCTTTTCAAATTCAATGTCTCTCAACTGTGGGCTCCAGTAAAAATAATTTTCTACTTCAGGAGGAAAAAGTATCAAAACAATTCACAATCAAATACAAGCAAAACCAAACCCCAACTGGCCAATAGCTGGGATCCACTCACCATTTTCTGGACTCCTCCAAAGAGTTTAGGTCACTTCTCTCTCCAGGTCCGCCCTCTGCAGCACACACAGCTTGACTTCTAATCTCCAGCAGACACCATTCCACTGTTGCTGCTGTTCTCGGTGGTCATCCCATGGTGCCAGCATCTTCAAACCCTAGGACCTTCTGCTGCAACCGGGCTGCACTTTCACCAATAGCCTCTCATAGGCTCTCTTCGTGATGCCAAGTCTCAAATTCTTTACATGACACCTTCAGTTTTGGGCCTTCAACTGCCGTGGAAGCTGCACCTTCACCAATGGCCTCTCACCGTGCAAAGTCTCAGTTGTCCTCCATGACCCCTCTATGCCTTCAAAACTAGCACCACTTAGGTGACTCTTGCACATAACCAAGTCCAGTTGCCAGCTTGAGGTACAATCTTGACCACCTGTGAAATACTGATTCTCTGTGCTCTCAGAAAACACTTCTCACAAGAGTTCACCTCAGCGATGCTGGCTGCTGCTGTTGCTGCTGTTGCTGCTGCTGCTGCTGCTGCTTCTCCTCCTCCTCCTCCTCCTTCTCCTTCTTCCTTCTTCTTCCTTCTTCTTCTTCCTCCTCCTCCTTCTTTCTCCTTCTTTTTCCTCCTCCTTCTTCTTCTTCCTTCTTCTTCCTCCTCCTCCTTCTTCTTCCTTTTTTTAAGTTTGAAACAAGGTTGTTTTACATGTCAATCCCAGTTCCCTCACCCTCCCATCTTCCCTTATCACCCCCACCAAACCCCAGCCCATATCTTTTCTGTTCCCCTGGGAAGGTGAGGCCTTCCATGGGGAGTCTTCAGAGTTTGTCCTATCATTTGGTTTCTTCTTAATCACTGCAAATTTCTTGACTCCAGACCTGACCAGCATCAAGAATCCCAGCAAAGTTTTATCTTAGTTCTGATATCTTGTTAATCACAGCTGCTTCTTCAGCCCCAGCTAACCAGAACCACAGAATTTTAACTCAAAATAACAAATGGCCCCACTAGTCTTTAAACTCCCCTCTGAAACTTCAAAAGCCAAACATCCATCCTCTACACTGTTCTCAACATTCTTATCTTCCAAGTTCCCACAGAACATCCCACGGAGCTCTTAACACTTAATGGCTCTTTTAGCCCAAAGTTCCAAAGTCCTTCCACAACCCTCCCCCAAACATGGTCAGCTCTGTCACAGCAATATCCTATGACACTGGTACCTATTTGTCTTAAAGTTTCTATTGTTTCAACGAAAAACCATGACCACAAAGCAAGTTGGGAAGGAAAGGGTTTATTTGACTTACACTTTCACATCATTGAAGGAAGTCAGGACAGGAACTCAAACATGGCAGGAGCCGATACAGAAACCATGGAGAGGAGCTGCTTACTGGCTTGCTCATCATGGTTTTCTCAGGCTGTTTTCTTTTAGAATCTAGGACCACCAACCCAGAGATGGTACCACCCACCATGGGCTGGGCCCTCCCCCATTGATCTCTAATAGAGAAAATGCCTTACAGCTGGATCTCATGGAGACATTTCCTCAACTGAGGCTCTTTCCTCTCTAAAGACTCTAGCTTGTATCAAGTTAACATAAAAGCAAAACAAAACCAGCCAGTTTTCTCTCTCTCTCTCTCTCTCTCTCTCTCTCTCTCTGCTCTGTTTCTCTCTCACACACATCACCACTACTACTACATTAGTAGAAACCCTTTGCTCTCCTTCCCAAGAAAGTGTATCCAGATCTCAATGATGCTCAACAGGTCTAATACTGAAACACAAGTACTGTGCATAAGCTGGACCAGTCCATACCCTATTATATTATAACAAAAAGAAATATTATGGATCTATTTCTATATTTTCCTAGTCACTTTTGAAAATAAAATTTGCATGTAAATAATCAGGGTGGAGATCTGGAAAGATAGCTCAATAGTTAGGTACTGCACTCACTTCTCTTGCAGAGGAGCTAGGTTGATTTCCAATCATCCATATGGCTATTCACAACAACGTGTAACTCAAGTCCCAGAGGATCTGACACCCTCTTCTCACCTTCACAGGCACCAAGCATGCACATGACAAACAAACACACACATGCAGGCAAAATACTCATGTGCATCAAAAAATAAAAGAAAAAAATATCAAAGTAGGGACTGGAAATGTAGCTCAGTAGAGCACTTGCCTAGCACCTGCAGGGCTCTAGGCTCAATCCTCAATACTACAAAAAAAATAAATTTTAAAGATTAAAATTAAGCAGAAGCCAAACATCACGGTGCATGGCTCTAAATCCAACACTTGGGAGGCAGAGGCGGGCAGATCTCCAAGAGTCTGAGGCCAGCCTGGACTCACTAGACAGAGTGAATTCTAGACCCCTTAAGGCTACATGGGAAGACTGAGTCACAAACAAGCAAAAGGGGGGATTGGAGTAATCCCTTTGCTTTTGATGTCTTGATTTATAACTGAGTTATCTGTTACAAACATTTTTTGCAACTGTAGGCAACAGAATACAGACAACCAGAGTCACTGGAGGAATACCACCCATTTCACTAGATTTATAAGCAAGGACATGTAACAAAACCCTAAGTCAGCTGGGGTAGGGGCAGGATTGGCCTTCACCTTCAATAACAATGTATGCCCTGTCTGTCATTGGACAATGAGTCTTGCTTGGTTTTCCATTTAAAGAGCAGACATGGTAGATTCGGAGAAACCACTCAGTGTGTAATGTACTCGCCTGTTCCCCACACACATAAAAGAAGTAGGTGTAGTATGTACCTTTGACCCCATCACCAGCGATGAAGACACAGAGGGTCATCAGAGCTTGTTGGCAAGCTAGTCTATCAAATTGGAGCTTCAGATTCAGTCAAAAAAGTAAGGAGGATGGAGCTGAAGGTTAAATGCACTGGCTGCTCTTACAGAGGACCTAGGTTCAATTCCTAGCATCCACATGGATATACTCACAACCATCCAATGACCTCTCCTGGCCATCAGCCAGGCACATGGTGCAAAGACATGCAGGCATGCAAAATACCCATATACATAAAGATGAATGTTTCTTAGAAGGAAGAAAATGGTTGAGGAAAACATCCAATGCCAACCTCTGTCTCCTCAGGTACTGGTACTCACATACACAGGCATGCACACACATATGTACATATTACACACATGTGCTCACACACAGATGTATATATAATCATGCAAGTGGCCACCAGTGGCCAACCGGGACTACTCCAGATTGCACTGGACCACTTGTTCACCCAAGGTCCCCAGCCACACCTCAGTCTGATGACCACAGCATGAGGCATGGATGCCACTGGCCCACTCCGAAGGTCAGCTCTGTTCGCTGCCTCCTGCTAGCACCTGTGCCCAGGAGAAGCCAGGGGTAAATATAATGAAGGTCAGATTAACACTCAGTGTGGGTGAAATTTTGCACTACACAAAGATGTAATCGGAGGAAGAAGCTTGACCCCATTGCTACTTCTGTAGTCAAACTGCTGCAGACTTCCAAAATGAGGAACACCAGGCAGGGATGGCGGTGAGGCAGGGATGGCGGTGAGGCAGGGATGGCGGTAAGGCAGGGATGGCGGTGAGGCAGGGATGGCGGTGAGGCAGGGATGGCGGTGAGGCAAGGATGGCGGTGAGGCAAGGATGGTGGCGAGGCAAGGATGGCGGCGAGGCAGGGATGGAGGTGAGGCAAGGATGGCGGTGAGGCAGGGATGGTGGTGAGGCAAGGATGGTGGTGAGGCAGGGATGGCGGTGAGGCAAGGATGGCGGTGAGTGCCTGATGCTCTAACTGCTTGGTAGCCTGAGACAGGAGGAGGATGAGTCCAACATTCAGAGTTGGGGGCTAGCCTGGGCAACACAGTAAAAAAAAATTATCATTACATAAATATTTGTATGTATGAGTGCACACACCTGCACTCATACACACATGTGCACACCCCCCCCCCCCACAGAAGCGCATTGAGGCTAAGGAGACCTCTATTTAGGTATAAAAGAATGAATAACTGAGGAATTATGATACCCAACCTTCTCTTGCCTGCATTTGTCATCTGGAGACATAAAGGGGTGTTGGGGTGACAAGGAGAACTTATGCATGCCTACATAAAGACAGACACCCTCTGGCCATGCCACATTTTGTTTCTCCATCTGCCTGCTCACTGGTCCTCTCATAATTCATCTCAAAGGCAGACAAACTCAGTGTCAAGTTAATCAACTGACTGACTTCTGCCTGCCACACTTCTCCCATGATGCACCTACGGTGGAAAGGGCCTCCCCACCTCTCCACTCAAACGCAGTCCCTCTGTATACACCACTCCCTAGCTCCCCATCACACCTGCAGTGCACAGGTATAACACGGCTCATGGGCGTGTCACTGCTGGCACTCACGCAGGTATTAAGCTCCTTCCCCTGGCACCCAGCTCCCCTGAAAACCACAATGGACAAGGAGCCAGAACAGGGAAGTGGTGTGGCTTTCTCAGGGTCTGACAAGTCCCCATGAGCTGATGTCAGAGCTAGGGTCACATGACTGCTAAACATGCTCAACTCCTCTAGGATGGAGTTAAACTAGTTCTTCGCTTGAGAAAAACCAAAGTGGAGGGATATTGCTCCTCAGTTGAAATAAGACACGTAGAGAGGTTACGTAGGATGCAGAGGCATCGGTGAAGAAATGAGAATTTTAAGTATGGCATCCGTTCACAGATGCTTGGAGCCAGCTTTGTAAATGGCTCTTCAGCAGCCTAGGAATAATGTGAGCTACAGACACAGTAGGCTCCCTCTCTCTTCACTGCACAGCCATGGGTCTTCCTGAAGGGTCCGAGGAGCAGGTAACACAGAAGGCCAGGGGTTAGCCCACAGCTGAGAGAGGTCCCAGCCAATTTAGTGCCTTACCCAGCTCAGCAGCTGATATACCAGCTCAGCTAGTATATCACTGGCAAGAAGAAAGGGCTATTCAAAATGTCCTTGCTGCCTGAGCCCTGCAGGAGTCCTGCAACCCCACTAGGCTGGGTGAATTTCCTTGCAGAGGAAACTTTGCTTTATTGTTGCTGTCAAACAGTAGAGGGAGGCAGCTGCCAGGAGCTGCTCATCACAGAGGAGGAGGAGGCAGCTGCTTGGCCCTCCAGGAACCGGGGAAAGCATGAGCTAGTTGGGGAAAACCCCACAGGACTCCTGATAAGCGGGGTGTCTTTCAAGCATGCTCCACTCATCTCCCCTATGACAAGGTCAGGCTGCAGTTTGGGAGCATTTTGCAGACCCCAGAAAAGCTGTCTTGCACTAGGTTACTCAGTGACTGTGGAAGGCAGCATTTGAACCCAAGACTACTGGCCCCTCCCTGCATTTCCCTCCCTTTCCTCCGGAGGAACCCTTGCGCAGCCCTACTAGGGTTCAGGATCTGCTAATTAGTCAGCCCCTCCCCTTTCTAACACCTATACTCCTTTTCTGATGAGTGGCATTTCCTGTGACTTGTCCTGGTTG